GCTAGAAAGTGTTATGTGTCTGAGGCCAGATTTGAACTCAGGTCCTTCTGAATCCCGGGCCGGTACTCTATCCACTGTGCCACCTAGCTGCCCCAGAAGGGTACAAACATTTTAGTCACCTTTTTTTTTTTTTTTTAGGCAATTGGGTTAAGTGACTTGCCCAGAGTCACACAGCTACTAAGTGTCAAGTGTTTGGTTTGAGGTCACATTCGAACTCAGGTCTTCCTGACTTCAAGGCCAGTGCTCTATCCACTGCACCACCACCAGCAGCAGCTGCCCCTGACTATCCACTTCTTAATGGTGGCAGCTGAGTTCCCTTCCTTTTATGGGCAGAAAGCTTAGGCTCCTCTGGTGGCTCCTGGATCTCTAGGGGAGTTATCGGATCCCTCAGAGAGGTGGGGACCCTAACCTTCCTGGTGAGTGTGCCTCTCCTAAGGTCAAGGCTGGAGGGGATCTGAGAGGGCAATGTATCACCCCTCTTGTTCCGCAGAAAAGGCACATGAGGCCCAGTGACTGGCCCCAGGACCCTTAGGTGAAAGGTTGCATGACCTCATTTCAGAATCAGCTCCTCTGAAAGGGTCAGCCCTCTCGACCACACCATGTTACTAAGGAAACCTTTATAAAGAGGAGTCTCATGCTCCCGGCGTGAACCAGCCAGTTGTGGCGGGAGGTGTGAGTGAGGGGGCAGGGGGAACCGGAATGAGCTCTGTCTTCTCTGAGCTGGGCCTGGCCTTCTTCTGATCCCCCCAACCCCCACCTTCCTTCCTAGTGTGGGAGAACCCCTACATACCCTATGACAACGTCCTTTCCGCCAAGTCAGGGTCTTTGGGGGTGGGAATAGCAACTGGGGGCTAAAAAGTGACCTCTTTTTGGGGGACTTGACTCAGGGAAGGCAGGAAGGGGACACGTAGGAAGGCATCTGATCCTGCCCAGACTCGGGGGCTTCAGGTCTCCTCCTCAGAGAGGACAGGGAGAGAGGGGTTACATGCTGCGTGGAGATCTGCAGTGCATAGAAGGAGCCCCCAAACCTCTGGAGCCCCACTGGACCATTCTGGAGATTCCACCTTCTCACCAAGGAATAACGAAGCCTCCCACTTGCTCTACCTGGCCTGGCCCTGCCCTTCAGATGCCCCAGACACCTTTGGTTTCACTTCTGAGTTGAGAAGAGGGAAGGGGGGGGGGCAAATGGAGCAAATAAATTTTGTTTGGCCGCTGACTAATACAGCTTTGGTCTCTCGCCAACAAGTCTACAGAGGGACAGAGCCCCTTTCTGCAGCTGCTGAGCCTGGGGAAGTGGGGTGCAGGCTCCCTGTTCCTTCCCAGGATCTCTAGCCCGAAGGCTCTGTGGGGACCTGCACCCCTTCCTTCACCCATCTGCAGAGCACTGTGGATCCAGCCCATCCCTGCTTCTCTTCTCCCTCTGTGAAGGTTGAGGACTGGAAAACTCCCACACCCCAAGCCAAACCTCCTGCCTTTGGAAGGCAAGAATGGGAAAGGAAGGAAGGAAAGAGCCTTCCCCCTCCCATCCTGGAAAGAGACAGGAGGAAGCCAGAGGAGGCCTGCCAAACTAGAGCTGAGGGGGGGCTGCATTTATATCATTCGATGGAAAAAACTGGGCTTTGGGGATCACCTGGTTCAGCTTCAGGAGGGAAGCAGAAAGCAGAAGTGTGGGAGTTCAGAAGGGAGGGAGAATGGGGAGGGGGCTCCTTCTTGGGACACAGGGCTACTGGATAGTGAAGCAAGGAGAGGCAGACAGGAAGGGTCCTTTCTGCTGCCAGTGGCAAAAATGTTGGCAGAGTTAGGGACTGCCAGGCTGGCAAAAACAGAAGGTGGGGGATTAGTAGCAGAAGGAATGTAGAGAGGAGAGGAGAGAGGAGAGAATAGGAGGGGAAAGGAGACAAGAGAATAGGACAGGAGGGTAGAGGAGAGGAGAGAAGGGAAGAGAGGAGAGGAAGATGGGTCATAGAAGTCTCAGGCAAGGAAAGGAAAGAGGACAGGAAGGGAGTCTCCATTTGCTTTCTTCCAGGGAGTCCCAGGTCTTTTTACGCTTTCTCCCTCTCCCTATCCAATCTCTCTTGTCCCTGCCTCATCCCTTTCTCCTCAATGCCTAAAATCAGCCCAGGCATACTCCCACCCCATCCAACCCGCTGCTTTCTCCACCTCCCTGTCACCCTGGCCAAGTGCTTCATCTACCCATTCTCTTGTTGCTGTCTCTCAAACCAGACGTGAAGCTGAGAAGGACTTTAGGTGCTGTTTGGTGTCTGGTAGGGCTCCATTCAGCCTTGGGCCAGGGGTGGGATCAGGAAAGAGACTAGAATGGACTAAGACAAGGGTTGAGGCTTCTGGAGGTTAGGGGCATAGTGGAGAGAACACTGCCTTTGAGGTTAGAGGTCCCGCGTCTGAATCTTACCTCTGATACTGCCATCCTTCCTTTCCCTGGCTCTCACTACATCCCCCCTTCCCACACACGAGTCCTCAAGCATCAAATGTCTCTATGCACCACTTAACCCCCCATCTGTCCTTTCCCCAGCCTCCCAAGGCATTGTCACAGGTGAGGGTACCCCAGAGGCAGCCAGAGCCATGGGAGGGACCCTCTGACTTGCCCCCACTAGTCCTGACTTCAGGTCTGCGAGCAGTCTAGGTCCGGAGATTCCCCAAAAGGCAAAGACAGAAGGCATATCTGTCCAGCCTCCTACTTTTCCCAGCTTCCCCTGCCCCCAAAGAGCCTGGATGGAGTTCTCATCATCACCAGCACCCCCAATCTCCCAGCTGTTAGAACATACGCAGATCTTAGCCCGGCCAGCTGCAGCTTGCACCCCCTCTGCAGCAGGGAGCTCCCCTCTCCTCTGCCACCCTCTGATGACATGGGACACTCACAGCTATGGGTCACTCCCCCCCCCACACACACAACCTGGACAACCACTGCATTCTTCTCGTGATCTCAAAGCACCTGACCAACCCATTCTAATGGCCCAGTGTTCGTCTTTCCAATTATCCGATAGAGAAGGGTCAGGGGACTTGTCTGGTACTCCTAGCTAGAGAGAGGGCAAACTGGTGAATCTGGCACTGGTGTCTCAGCCTCTGTCCAGGGCAGTTTTCCTTGACTTCTAACAGGACTCAGGTTTTAGGATGCCTTAAGGGGGAGCTGCTCCAGCCTGTCCTGTGGTCTCTTCTGCCTCCCCTGGCCTCTGGAAGCAGAAGGACCTTCTCCCCTGCAGCTTGGCACAGCCTGCCTGCCCACCCTGCCAGCTTTATCCACCTGTCCACTTCAGATTCCACAGGGCAGCCCGGGAAAGGGCATTGCAGAGGAGTTATGGGGGAGCAGGCCCGTTAGTCTGCAGGCACCCCGGTCCCCTTACTCTTCAGCCTCTCTGCCCATTCCCCCAAGCAACAGCTAGTATGCATAGAGGCCAGGCCATGCTAGTGGACAGCAACCCAGGAGGAGGAGGAGGAGGAAGTGGAAAAGGTGGGCCAGGCCCTGCCTTAGCACTGCAGTACTTGTGGGCACCTTCTCCTACTCAGACCAGACGCTGGACTCCGGGGCAAGCAGATCCCTGAGCACCCCAGTCCATAGCGCCATCCTAGAACAAGGGCCTCACCCTGCTCAGGGGTGGGTGGGTTCCCCTTGGCCTGAGAAGCCAAGGATGGCCGTGGTGGCCTGGGGAATGGGAGGAGGTCAAGTTGGGCTCAGCTGCCACCTGGTGCCCCTAGGAAGGGGGAGGACACTTGAAGGCTGAACAGAGAACAGACAGGCTGGTGTCCCGGAGGGACATGGTGTCTGGGGACTAGTGGCATGGGCAGCCTTAGGAATGCGGGGAGAGGGAGGGAGGAGAGGCTTCAAGGGGGTGGGGGGAAGGGGTGGCAGACACATCTCTGGATAGTGGGCTGCCCGTGAGCCTGGGAGGACCCTTAGGGGCTGGAGAGGAGGGGGGACCAGGCCAGGAGGAGAGAAGGGTCACTGGGCACTTGTCTGCCGCCACCCCCACCCCCACCCCATCCACTTGTTGTGTCCTCCCAGGGAGCGGCTCTGCCTTCACCGGGAGGGGTCGGGGGAGGGGGTTCTCTCTGCAGGAGCGTGTGTGGAGAGGTGGGGGGAGGGCACGGCGGCCATCTCTGTCCCCCTCTCCCCTCTTCTCCCAGCCCAAACAGATTGGATTTTTAAAGCGACACGTCTGGAATGTCAATTCCAATACAGAACCAGCTAGCTACGCTAGAAACCGCGAGGGTGATGGGGAGGGGGGTGGAGGAGGGGGGAGCCCACCCACCGCGCAGGTTCCTCGGCCCCGCATTCACTGGGGCCGGGGGCTCTCCCCCAACCCCGAGCCCCGCCCCCTGTCCGGGCCGCAGCCGTTCTCGCCCATTTCCGCACAGTCACCGTGGGAATGCTGACCCCCACGACCCTGTCCCCTCCCCGGGGGTGAGTGCCACCGCTACCGAGGGGGTGCGGGCGGCCAGGGGAGGAGGGCGCCCGGCCTAGTCTGGGGAGGGGGGAGGGGGTTAGCAAGTTTTCCGAGCTGGTGCCCGCAGCGTGTGGGGGGTCTCTTCTGCTACTTCTGCCTAACGCTTCGGGTCCTCACCCACCCATGGGACCTAGGGGAGGGGATTGGGGAAGTTTCCCCCCTCCCCCTGCCCATCTCCAATCATCTGAAACCCGCCTAGATTGAGCCGGGGCGGGGGGGAGGGGGGCCAGGGGAGCGATGGAAGAAGGCTGTGCTACCCCCACTTCTGGTGCTGGTACCCCTCCCCCCCCCCCCCCCCGCCCAGGTCCTGGGAACGGGTCTGTGCTCCGGGCTCGGGTTAGGAGCTCCCTCCCGCTCGCCCCGCAGGTCGAGCCCACCTGTCTCCTTGCACCTGCAGACCCTCCCCGCAGTGGTCAGTCGGGGAGGGGGAGACCAGGGTCCCCAGAGCCCCCCTAGCGAGCGGCGGCGGCGGCGGTTCCAACCCGGGCTGGTCAGAGCCGGGCAAACAGGTAGGGCTGCTCCGGGGCCCCCCGCACTCACCCTCCAGCTCGTCCTCCGGGATCTCCACGGGCCGCTGTTCGGACAGGATGTTGGGCACGGTGTAGATGCCCCGGTACATCAACGCCGCGGTCACCGGGTGGAACGGCATCTTGGGGACTCCTGCGCCGAGCGCAAACTTTAATCCCGAATCGCATGGACTGCGCGGGCCGGGCCACCCCCCGGAGGGCAGCGGCGGCAGCAGGGGCAGGGGCAGGGGCAGGGGCAGGGGCGGCGGGGGCGGGGGCAGCGGCAGGGGCAGCGGCGGCCGCTCTCGTTCACTTGGAGCCCGCCGGGCCCGGGGAGGAGCCGAGGCTGGGGGGCCGCGCGGGGAGGGTGTTCGAGCCCAGGGCAGCGGTCCGCCTGCCCGCCTAGCCGACTGCCCAGGGACAGGGACAGCTCGCTCAGCGGCGGCCGCGGCCGCGCCTCCGGCTCGGGCTCCTCGGGCTCTGGGCTCTAGGCTCCGCTTCCACCCCTCCCCTCCCCTCCCCTCCCCTCCCTTCCCCCCCCCTCCCCTCCCCTCCCCCCCCCTCTCCCCCCTCTCGGGGGCTGGGGGAGGGGGAGGGGGAGGGGGAGAAGGAGGGAGGGAGGGAGGGAGGGAGGGAGGGACGGCCGCGGCCGGCGGTAGCTGCTGGCTACTGCCCGCTTGAGCCCCGCGCCCCTGGGCGCCGGGCCATTCCCGCTCCCGCCCCCGCCCGCCTCCGCCTCCGCCTCCGCCTCCGCCTCCTGCGCGCCTCCGCCCGCTCTCTAGCCAGGGCACTCAGTCTCCTCCCCAGGGCCGCCACTGGCTGCTCAAAGGCGCCCGCTGCCCCCAGCCGGGGGTGCCCGGAGCCCCCGCCCCGAGGGTCGCATGGCGCCCGCCGGCGGCAGCTGGCCCCGGGCCGCAGCCACCGACCCCCTCCCGGCCCAAGTTTCCCCGGCCCGCTCTGCGCCCTCCGGGCCGGGGCGGTGCGGTACGGCGCGGCGTGGTGCGGTGCGCCCGGCTGGCTGGCTGGCTGGCGAGCCGGCTCCCTCTGGCCCAGCTCGGGCTCTCGGTGCCGTCCTCCCTCCCAGTGCCTCTGGCTTCTCTCCGCGTGTGTGTGCGTGTGTGTGCGTGTGCGTGTGTGTGTGCGTGTGTGTGTGTGTGTGTGTGCTCTCCCTGCGCTCTCCCCTCTCCCCTCTCTGCGCTCTCGCTCTCCCCTGTCTCCTCAATCCTCTCTGCGCTCTCTCACGTACAATACACACGCGCTCCCCCCAATGCCCAGCACATATATATCCCAAAGAGGGACGGATGAGAAACTGGAAAAGTACCCGGGAAAGGGGAGCCCCAAGGCTGAACCCGCGAGCGCAGAGAGAACCGGACGCGGGGATCTGGACCTTAGCCTGAGCCCGCGGCTCCGTGGAAGTCGGGCTGCCCACTCCCGCGTCCTGCCGGCCTCCCGCCCCAGCGCCCTCTGTCACTGGGGCATCTCTCCACGCCCACCCACTCCTGCACCAGTACGAGTAGCACCAGGCTGCTCTGTTCTCCAGGGCCCTCCAAGTGTTTTCCACCTGAGGTATGCACCCTAGGGGAAGGGAAGCAGGTAAGGAAATGGCGGTGCAGGCAGGTGGGCCCATGGGGCAGGACCTAGGTATCCTGGTTCCCCAGCACAGGGGCCGAAAGGGACGAAACCCCTTTTTTTCCGGCTCTTTTGGCCCCTGGTTTGGTCTCTGGGTCCTTCTGGAGAGTAGCTTAGCCCTTTGGGAGCCTGGGGAGGAGGGCACGGGGATAGGGGAGACCCCTGTGCGCCTGGTGTCTCAGTTCCTTTGGTTTTGGCTGGGATGGGGAGTCCATGAGCCAGGGGCCAGCCGCGACTCCCCTATTCTCCCTCCACCCCGACTCCTTTACTCCTCCCAGCACCACCCCCGCACACACACAGCTGGAGTTCTTACTGAAGACAAGAAAGAGGTGTAAGTAGAAAAGGGGAGCCCCGTGCCTTCCCTGGACTCAACCGCAAATAGACCCGCAGAGGTGGGGGGGGGGGGCAGAGAACCGACATTGCCGTCTCAGTGGGTTGCGCTGTCTCCACTGAATCTGCAAACGGGAGAACCTCGGTACTGTCGGAGGTCCCTCCCCCAGCTCCCCGCTCCTCAGGGTCTTACGATTTCCCCAATTCTTCAGTCCTTTACACGGGAAAACTCCTCTTTCCCCCATGGGCCAGAGACAAGCTCGAATTAACACAAAGCTTTCTAAGTCAGAAAAATGAAGGGGAAAAGTCACGAGGAGTAGAAGAAGGCAGCAGCCTGGAACAGGAGAAAGATTCTGGATTTGAAGTTAGAAAATCCCGATTCAAAATTCTGCTCTGCCTCTTCCTACTGTGTGATCTTGGACAAGTCATTTTCCCTCTGTGGGCCCAGTTCCCTCATCAATAAGGGGGAAAGGAATAAGCATTGAAATGTCTCCTAGTATATGCCAGGCACTGTGCTAAGCACTTTAACAAATGTTATCTTATTTGAACCCCCTCAACAGCACTGCTCAGACACAGCTAGCATCTGAGGCGGGGTTTGAACTCAGGCTTTATTGACTCCAGGCTCAGCACTCTATCCACCTTTCCACAAATTGAGAGGGTTGGACGGGATGGCCTCCAAGGTCCTTTCTAACTGTCCCATTCTATAAATGCCTGAGGGAGGATTTGAGCCCAGTTCTGCCTAACTCGAATTCTAGCACCCAAGTTCTGGATCCTGAACCTGGTCAAGATTCCACCTCTGACTTCGAATCTAGTCCTCTTTCCATCACACTTTGCACCTCACCTATGTATATCCATATTACTACTGACATTAATATATCACTTTAAGGCTTTCAAAGCACTTAACATACATGAGCTCACCTGTTTATTTTCTATATCTCTGAATCTGTACCTGGGAGTTAGTGTGGACACCACCCAAGGTGAAAACTCCACCCATTAATGCAGATTGACAACTGTTTGTCATTAAAAGCCTTGAGAGTTGCCCGGGGCATTGAGAGTTAAATGTCTTGCCCAGGGTCCAATAGCTGGTCTGTGTCAGTCAGAACTCAACACTGTTAGGTCTTCTGGACTCCCCTTGCTCACTACACCCGATGGCTCTGCCTCTCATATACATACGTGTATGTAAGCATAGAGCTAAACGTATGTGAGGGATGTCCCAAGGACATCCTCCGGCTCCCTCCCTCCCTGGCTCATAAATCCACTCCTGGGTTTAGGCTCCGCCCCCTCCAATCCCATCTCCCCCATTTCCAGCTTTTGGGTGAAATCAGCATCAAATAGCCCTCAGCAGGAAAAGGAGCTGATTAAAGTGATCTTAACTCCAAAGCGCTTTTTCAATTACTGCTCGTCCCTTCCCCTCGCTGATTACATTTTTCTTCTTATTTTCAGCCTTGTCACTGATTAATCACAGCTCCACCCGGGAACCACAGATTGGGAGGACTTGAGGGGAAAGATGAGGGGCCCCAGTCTGGGCTAAGGGGGAGGAGGACCTGTGGGGAAAACTGGCCTAGAGGAAGCTCCTGGCATTGCAGCCACCCTGGGGGTGTGGGCTGAGGAGGAGGAGGAGGAGGAGGAGGAGGAGGAAAAGAGAAGTAGGGGGAAGGGGAGGGGAAAGGGGGAGGAGGAGGAGGGGGGGAGGAGGAGGAGGAGGGGAAGAGGAGGAGGAGATGTTTTCCTCATGAATTGAAGGCAAGGCCAGGGCTTACCAGCAGCATGTCTGTGTCTGTATGTCAGTCAACAAGCGTTTATGGAGTGCCGGCACTGGGCTAAATGCTGGGGATACCAAGAAAGGCCATTTTAAAAAGGCCCTGATCTTGAGAAGTGTACTTTTTAATAGGGAAGACCACCTGGAAATAACTAGATACATACGAATGTATGTGTGTGGAGAGAGAGAGAGAGAGAGAGAGAGAGAGAGAGAGAGAGAAGATGATGGCAGGTCATCTCAGAGGGGAAAGTTACATTAGAGGAACTGTAAGCAGGCCAGTGTAGCTGTATTATAGGGTATATTGAGGAGAATAAGGTGTAAGACTAGAAATGCAGAAAGATAGAAAATTATGTCTAGTCTGGCCTGGAGCTGGTCCCTGTACTCTGCCTGAGTCTGTGTGTTTCCCCTAGCTGTTCCCCATGATGGACATGCGCACCTTCTAAGCTTGGCCTTTCCAAATCCTCTTCTTTCCTTTGAAGCTCTACCCAGCTCCCTCTTCTGGGAAGCCTTCCCTGATTAATCCAACTTTGAGTGTTCTTTTCCTCATTGGCATAGTGCTCCATCATATTCATTTGAGTGCATCCCCACCCCAACATTAAAATATCCATTGCCTGACGGAAGTGACAGTACCAATTTCAAGGTCAAAAGAGCCTAGATATGGAGCTAATAGGGACCTCAGAGGTCCTCTGGTCCAACTCCATCATTTTACAAATGAGGAAACTGAGGCCTCTCAAAATGAACTCCTTCAGTGCCGAAGGAATTTCTATCTGATCTGAGAGGTTCACACATTCCATCTCTGGTCTCTCTACTTCTGCCCAGTCTGTCCCCCATGCCTAGAACCCAACCCCTCTCACCTTGGCTTCCTTCCTCACCTCTTACCTATGCCCTTCTCTGATCCACTTTGTTGTTAGCTCTCGCTACCCACTGGAAGTCACTTGGGATATCACTTGGTTTGCTATTTTGTACACACTACTGCAATGTGTACAGTTATCCCTTCCACACTCTGGGGATTAGGGGCCTGGTGCCCCTGCGATCTGGAAAATCCAAGTAAAATTTTTTGGCCCTCCCTTCATACCAGAGAAGAAATCTGAATTTTTTCTTTTTCTTTTAAGGGGTGTTTTCAGTACCTTATTGTAAAATTTGGGTTGATATTATATAATACTATACATATATGGTATGCATTTCTGAGTTTCTAAACTTTTTCTTTGTGGTCTGCTGGCCTTCTTATGTTGTCTTTGGCTTCCTCAAAACTCCCCCAAAATTCCCATTTAATTTCCTATGCTGACTGGTGATATATTGAAACTCAGATGGAGAAAGTCACAAGGTAGAAGGGATAACTGTATATGTCAATTTCTCCCAGTAGAGTGGAAGCTCCTTGAGGGCAGGGGCTGATTCATTATTAGCTTTGTATCTTCAGGACTTAGC